ATGGAGGGTCTGTGTCTGCCCCAAGAGTGGGAGATGCGGGTCTGTGTCTGTCCCCAAAGTGGGCAAAGGGGTCTGGTGGTGCCCCTAGGAGTGGGCAATGAGGGGGATCTGTGCCTGCCCCCTCACCCCCTGGTGAGCAAGGGGGTCTATGCCGGATTGGCGTCCCCCCCCAGAGTGGGAGATGGGGGTCTGTGCCTGCCCCCACGGCAGTTGGGAGTTCCAGCCCCAACACACTCATCACACTCATCTTCCCTCCCATCACCCAGTGCCTGGATGGGATCGACTATGATGACTTCAATTTCGGCTCCCACATGATGGAGCAGAAGGAGCCCCTGATGGAGACAGGTAAGGGCCTCTCTGGCTGTGCCCTCCTGGGGTCCCCATCTGCAGTGGGGTTTCCCACAGGCTGACTCACACCTCATAGTTCCCAACAGCGCCATGGGCTGTGTCCCTGCTGGCCCCACTGTGGGCTGGTTGGGAATCCCTGCCCTGTGCCACCAGAATGGGGACTGTTTGGTCTGACCCCACTGCTCAGTCTACCGAGGACCTGAGATTGGGCTGTGACCGATCCCCAGAGGCTCCTGGCTCCCTGAGTGCCAGGGCATGCTCTGGCCCTTCCCTCTTTACTCAGCTGCTCCGACTTCTGCTCCTGGCTGGGCTGTCACAGCACAGGGGCTAGGGGCCCTGAGCACCTTCATGGGACAGACAGGGGTCACCCCACCTTCAGCACCATCCCCATACCTCCAGCATCCTTACTGGGAGCACACACTTTGGTTATTCTGTGTTTCTTACTGGTGCTTTGGTTATCCTGTGCTTCTCTCCTCTCTGTCCTCCAGTGGAAGGTCCCTACCTTGTCATCATCGAGCAGCCAAAGCAGGTAAGGACATCACCCAGGTAAGGACAGGCCTAGCTGTCACGCCGTGCTCTCACAGCGCCAGGTGTGGGCCACCCTTGGCTGACACCCTCTTTGCCTCCGCAGCGGGGGTTCCGGTTTCGGTATGGCTGTGAGGGCCCTTCGCACGGGGGGCTGCCAGGAGCATCCAGCGAGAAGGGGCGCAAGACCTATCCCACCGTCAAGGTGAGAACTGCCCTGGGGAGGGGCAGCATCTTTGGTGCTGGAGGGGTGGGAGGGCTGCAGCAGGTGGGGTGGTGACTGTGGGGAGGAATAGCAAGGGTTTGCAGAGGGACCTGCAGGCTCCCGGGATGTTGTACCTGACTCCCATCTCCTTTGTCTCCACAGATCTGCAACTACTCTGGGATGGCCCGGATTGAGGTGGACCTGGTGACGCACAGCGACCCTCCCCGTGTGCATGCCCACAGCCTGGTGGGCAAGCAGTGCAACGAGGCCGGCAACTGTGTCGCAATCGTGGGACCAAAGGACATGACAGCTCAGTACGTGTAGAGGGAGACTCGGGGTGGTCTCTTGCCTACATGGGATGGCTGGGGGTCTGTCTGCAGCTTATGGGCTGGGGAGAAGAGGAGAGTTAGTGCATCCAGGAGCTGGATTTGCTGGATGGGGTCAGGAATAGGATTATGCAGCCACTCTGTGCTTTGCTCAGCTCCTGCCTTTCAGCATGCAGGAGCCTGTGTGTTCCCTGGGCCAGCTGCTCCCAGCCAGGGCAATCCCAAGATCCCAGCAGGATACCTCTTCTTCTCTAGGTTCAGCAACCTGGGTGTGCTCCACGTCACCAAGAAGAACATGATGGAGATCATGAAGGAAAAGCTGAAGCAGCAGAAGATGCGTAACAGGAGCCATCTGACAGGTGAGGGCAGCCTGGGGGGCTCGATGGGACTCGGCGCCCTGGGGAGAGCTGGGACCTGCTGTGTGGTGACAGCTGGGGACTGATGGGGGACGGACAGGAGCCCTGTCCCCTGGCCCAGTCTGATGGCATCTTCCCCTGCTCCGGCAGAAGCAGAGCTGCGTGAGATTGAGCTGGAGGCGAAGGAGCTGAAGAAGGTGATGGACCTGAGCATTGTGCGCTTGCGCTTCACTGCCTACCTCCGTGACAGCAGCGGGAACTTCACGCTGGCCCTCCAGCCCGTCATCTCAGACCCCATCCATGACAGCAGTGAGCATGGGGCCAGGCTGGGGAGGGGCCGGGGCAGACAGGGTGAGGAGGAGAGGGATGCTTTGTCTACACTGCAGCTCCCGACCCCTCCTCTTGCTCTGCAGAGTCCCCAGGAGCTTCCAACCTGAAGATCTCGCGGATGGATAAGACGGCAGGCTCAGTGCGGGGAGGCGACGAGGTCTACTTGCTGTGTGACAAAGTTCAGAAAGGTAAAAGCTGTCCCTCCAGACAAAACCTTCCAGAGGCGCCGCAGTGGGAGAGATCCAGGGCCACTGGGCAGCCAGGGGTTCGTGCTGGGGGCCAGGGCAGGGAGACAGGCGGTGCCAGCGCCCCTTCTCTCCCCAGATGACATCGAGGTGCGTTTCTATGAGGATGATGAGAATGGCTGGCAGGCCTTCGGAGACTTCTCCCCCACTGATGTGCACAAGCAGGTATGGGGGAGGCGAGGGGTGTCCTGCTGTGCCTCAAAGCAGATGAGTGCCCTGCAGGGTGGGGGAGCCCCATCCCTGGCTCCGGGGAGGACCCCATGTCTGTCCGTCCTGCCCACAGTATGCCATCGTCTTCCGCACGCCCCCCTACCACAAGCCAAAGATCGACCGTCCTGTCACCGTCTTCCTGCAGCTGAAGCGGAAGCGAGGAGGCGACGTGAGCGACTCCAAGCAGTTCACCTACTACCCTGTGGTGGAAGGTGAGCGCCCCTTGGGCAGGCCGGTGTGCTCCCTGCTGCTGGGGCCACCCATCACCCTGCCACCCCTCACCCTGCCACCCCTCTCTCCCCACAGATAAGGAAGAAGTCGAGAGGAAGCGCAAGAAAGTCCTGCCTCAGTTTCCCCAGCATTTTGGCGGGGGCTCACACCTGGGGGGGGCCGGTGGGGGGGGTGGCGGCTCTGGAGGAGGTGAGTGGGGATGCCTCTTCCCCTTCCCAGTGCCGGTAGCCATGACCTGGCCCTGGGGTCTCCCTGCTCCCCTCCATCCTCATCCGTCCCCTTTTGCTCCACAGGTGGGAACCTCGGCTTCCCCTACTCCACCGGGCTGGCCTACAACAGCATCTACTCGCCTGGCCCCCACCCTGTTGGGAGCTACCAAGGGGGAGTGCAGATGAAGGGCCCTGAGGCCGAGGAGCCCGGGAGTGACCAGCAGGTGCCTGCGGAGAGCACGTACTGCAAGGAGCTGCAGAAGCACGGTATGAGGGGGCTGGGCTGGAGCAAGGGCTGGGGGGCCTTTTGGGGGAGGTGCTGCTCTCTGGGGGCGTGCAGGAGGGCGGATGGGGCTGCTGCTCCTGAAAGTGATGTCCTGCTTCGCCCCCAGCCCAACTGTGCCAGCTGTGGATGCTGGCGCTGGCCCGGCGCAATGCCCATGCCCTGCTCGACTACTCGGTCACCGCTGACCCCCGCATGCTGCTAGCGGTCCAGAGGCACCTGGCTGCATCGCAGGATGAGAACGGAGACACGTGAGTGCTCAAGGGGTTTGCAGGGAGAGTGTGGGAGCCGTGTTGGCCGTCAGAGCCATTATGGGTGCTCTGGGGGTGGGAAATGACAGGGAGGACCTGGAGAAGCATGGAACTGAGCCAGGGGTCATCCTGCTCTCTCTGCAGGCCTTTGCACCTTGCTATTATCCATGAGCAGACGGCTGTGATCAAGCAGCTGATCGAGGTTGTCGTTAGCATCCCCAGCCAGCAGATCATCAACATCTCCAACAACCTGCAGCAGGTACATGTTTCCCAGAGTAGTCGGTTCTCCTCTACCTGGGCCCTATTCCTGTTTTCAAACTCCTGTTGCTGCTCCTGCTGAGGGGCAGCTGCAGGGCTGAGCACGGTGCAGCCACGCCAGCAAGGATGGTGGTGCAGGACTCGGTTCCTCTTGCGAGCGCTGCTGAGGGAGTGCTGCTGTCCCACAGACGCCGCTGCATCTGGCAGTCATCACCAAGCAGCCCCAAGTGGTCCAGCTCCTGCTGCAAGCCCGCGCCGACCCCACCTTGCTGGACCGCTACGGCAATTCTCTGCTGCACCTGGCACTCCAGGCTGGCGATGAGGAGATACTGAGAACACTGCTGGGCCACCTGGGCTCTGCTGCCCCTTACCTGCTCCGCCTGCCTAATTTCCATGGTGAGTGAGGCTGGGAGACGATGGGCCAGGACCTGGTGGTGCTGTCGTGGGCTCGGCCAGAGGGCTGCTGAGCCTCTCCCCCTGTTGCAGGCCTCCTGCCTGTGCACTTGGCCGTGAAGGCAAAGAGTTTGGCCTGCCTGGACCTGCTGGTCAGGAAGGGAGCGGACGTGAATGCGGTGGAGAGGCAGGGAGGGAGGACCCCGTTGCACCTGGCTGTGGAGATGGAGAACCTGAATATGGCCACCCACCTGGTGAAGAAGGTATGGGGGGGTGGTGGGTTGGTGGCTGTGGCACAGGTGTGGGATGCAACCTCCCACAGGGCCCTGGCAGAAATGGGTGTCCCCTATGGTCTTGGGGTGATGAGGGGGGGCGCAGGACAGTGCCCAGGCAGCCCATCTTCACAGCCTCATGCATTTCTCTATAGCTGGGAGCAGATGTCAACAGCCGGACCTTTGCTGGGAACACCCCCCTGCACCTGGCTGCTGGCCTGGGCTCCCCCACCCTCACCAAACTGCTCCTCAAAGCTGGTAAGGTGCTACCCTCCTTCCTCTCCCTTCCCCTCCCTGCAGCCCCAGCTACCTGTACCAGGGTGTAGTGGGCACAGGGCAGACACAGAATCACAGAATCACAGAATCCCAGAACGTTAGGGATTGGAAGGGACCTCAAAAGCTCATCCAGTCCAATCCCCCTGCCGGAGCAGGAACACCTAGATGAAGTTGCACAGGAAGGCGTCCAGGCGGGTTTTGAATGTCTCCAGAGAAGGAGACTCCACAACCTCTCTGGGCAGCCTGGGCCAGTGCTCTGTCACCCTCACTGAGAAGAAGTTTCTTCTCAAATTTAAGTGGAACCTCCTGTGTTCCAGCTTGTGCCCATTACCTCTTGTCCTATCATTGTTTGTCACCGAGAAGAGCCTGGCTCCATCCTCGTGACACTCACCCTTTAAATATTTATAAACATGAATGAGGTCTCCCCTCAGTCTCCTCTTCTGCAAACTAAAGAGCCCCAGCTCCCTCAGCTGCTCCTCATAAGGGAGATGCTCCACTCCCTTGATCATCTTTGTAGCCCTGTGCTGGACTCTCTCCAGCAGTTCCCTGTCCTTCTTGAACTGAGGGGCCGACCTGGGCCGACCCTTTTTGGGGACTCAGTCCACCCTTCCCTGGCAGGGGCGGATGTGCTGTGCGAGAATGATGAGCCCGTGAGCCCGTCCTCGTCAGAACCCAGCAGTGACACGGACACTGACCCGGAGGAGCAGGAGGCGGCCATGGAGCTGGGGGAGCCAGCTCCAGCCGTGGAGTGCGGCACCAACCCCGACCCCCCCACGCAGGGACATGGGAAGGCAGGGCACAGACAGCGGCGCTGCCACACACCCCTGGACCTGACTCGGAGCCAGAAGGTGCGTGGTGGGGCAGGACAAACCTCCTAGGAGTGTTTCCACAGGGACCACAGCATGGATGAGGCAGAGCTCCAGGAGATGCTCTTGCGAGTATGCCTGTGTCCCGTGGCATGGGGAGGTGAGGCGGTGCTGGCCAGTGCTTTGGAGGATGCTGACATCCGTGTGTCTGTCTGCAGGTGCGGGAGATTCTGCTGCAAGTCTCCCAGCAGGGCTCTGAGGCAGAGCTGCCTGCTGTCCCCCGGGCAGGTAAGCAGCTCCTCTCCCTCCAAAAGCACCGTGCCCAGGCAGGCCAGCACCCTCCCAGGGCAGTGTGTGATGGAGGCACCTCTCCCGTGCAGGGAAAGTCCTGTCGCTGGACAGT